ATGGACAATAAAAAGAAGAGCAAAATATAAGTAGAAATACAGCAATATAAATGTAAAGAGTAGAAAGCCAAAAGTAGTTATGTTAGCACTAAACATTTGAGTAGCAGTGAGGTAGATTGTATATTGCGCTTGGTGTTTAAAATATTGCACATACATGAATAAAAGTGTTTAATAGTGCAGTTGGTGCAGTCTGTGTGTGATGGTGAGCACGGCTCGAGTTCAACAGCCTGACAGCCTCAGGGAGGAAGCTGTTTCTGAGCCTGGTGGTTTTGCTCTGGATGCTCCTGAGCCGCCTGACTGAGGGGAAGGGCTGAAGCAGTCTGTGTGCGGGATGGGTGGAGTCCTTCATGATGCGGAGACCCCTTCCCCTGCACCGTGATGATGGAGGTCTGTTCTTCTCAGCAGCAGTGCAGCTGCCGTGCGATGCAGGTGTAGAGGACGCTCTACACCGCACAATGGTAGAAGCTCCTCAGAACAGAGCACCCAAGTCCAGCTCTCTGCAGCTTCCTGAGGAAGTAGAGGCTCTGGTGGGCCTTCCTGACCAGACGGGAAGTGTTGGCGCTCTGGGTGAGGTCTGTGGATATGTGCACACCCAGGTACCTGAAGCTGGAGACCACTTCCACAGCTGCTCCTCCGATGTGCAGGGGAGGGGGATGGCACTTGTCCCTCCTGAAATCCACCACCATCTCCTTGGTCTTCTTCACATTGATGCAGCGGTTGTTGTCTCTGCACCACTGCACCAGGTGTTCCACCTTCTCTCTGTATTTGGACTCATCATTGTTCGTGATGCATCCCACGACTGCTGTATCATCCACAAATTTCAGCTGGGGTGTCTCGCCGAGCAGTCATACGTCAGCAGAGTGAACAGGAGGGGGCTCAGCACACAGCCATGAGGCGAGCCAGTGCTGAGGGTGATGGAGAAGGAGATGGTGTTGTGGATCCTGACAGTCTGAGGTCGGTTGGTCAGGAAGTCCAGGACCCAGTTCCCCAGTGTGGAGCTCAGTCCAAGGCTTGTGCACCAGGGTCTGTGGGATGATGGTATTGAAGGCGGAGGAAAAGTCCAGGAAGAGCAGGCAGACATATGAGTTTCTGCTCTCCAGGTGGGTGAGGGCTGTGTGGACCACCGATGAGATGCTGTTAGCAGTAAAGCGGTTCTTCTTGTAGGTGTATTGGTGGGGGTCCACAGTGATGTCGATGGAGTCTTTGATGTGTGTCATGACCAGCCTCTCAAAGCACTTCATGATGCCAGGGTTAGAGCTATAGGTCGGTAGTCATTTAGGCCTGTCACTGTGGAGCACTTCATCAGTCCAGATGGAACTATATTTACTGATGGCGCTGATTCATCCTGAGCTTGGCTGAAGTTCACTGTCGAATCTGTGCAGCTGCTTTGTAGAAAAAGCAATTCAGAAACACTGGAAATGTGATTATTCTGTGTCTGTGGTCTGAGCCTCTCTGCTACTGTGGGATGGGATGTTTACGTGCCACAACATTTGGATTCTTACTGGAATAGTCAGGTAACTCATTTCCAGTTTATAAACAAAACAAACAAACAAAAAAAGGGGCCAAATTTTGATTTCTGAAAATCTGAGAATCTGTTGTGTCTCTCTGTGTTTGTGGGTTGCGTGGGTTCTCACAGTGCAAAGATATGCTGAGGTTAATTGGTGAGTGTGCTTGGTTGTCTGTCTCTGTGTAGCCCTGTAGACTGGTGACCTGTCCAGGGTGTCCCCTGCCTTCACCCTGAGTCAGCTGGGATAGACCACCTCACCCCGAGCCTAGCGAGGATTAAGCTGTGTATAGTTAAATGATGGATGGATGGATGGATGGATGTCTCCGCAGTCCGCTGTGTCTCTCCTCTCAGCTGTTCTCCACATGGCAGCAGCACCAACCAGGCAAAGCGTGTTAATGTATAGCATCTGGTTTGTTCACATTCGCACATCCCAGCTGCAAACATCACACTCTGAGTCTCCGATCATCATCTCAGCAGACTTTAATCATACATCGCTTTCTGCCACTCTCCCCACATTCTGCCAGTATGTGGACTGTCCAACCGGAGAAGGTGGGGCCTTGGACCTGCTGTGTACGGACACCGGGGATGCATATTACTTCGTTATTATTTTCTTGTACTTTCTTCTATGTTTTTGGATGCTGCTGTTTACAATAATTTCACAGGTAAATAAAGTATATTCTGTTCTATTAAAACAATTGTCTGGTAATATTCATTAATAAAGGAACAAAATGACTTGATGCAACCATAGACTGTATGTTACACTGTAAACAAATAACTATGTGGTTGGTCTCTTAAATTAAACCAAAGATTAGTCAGAAATTGGATCCATCTCACTTTGGTCTTCAGTTTCACCTAAAACACGCAACAAACAATCTTAGACTTTTCCTGCATCTGTTGGTGATGCACCTGAATACAGAGAGAACGACCTTTGGAGCAGCTCTACCGTCTCCGACAAGGATGTTATTTTTCCATCAGATAATATGTTTTTAATTTAGGTTCCCACCACACACACAGCAGAGCACCACAAAGTGTTAATCGATTAAATATGGATTTCACATTACCAGGGAATTACTGTGAAGTTAGTAGTGCTTTGCTATGAGATCGTTGGTCCTGCCTTGAACAGAACCTGGTGTCAGAATCTAACTGTAGACCTCAGACAGTTCAGACACTCAACATATATATCTTATGCCCTGCAGTCATCCAACACATCCCTGTACATATTGCACAAATATAAGGTTTGGCAGCTCATCTCTCAATCTTGCATGGTTCTCATCACTATACTTACTTTTAGTGTTCTTTGTAATTAAAGCTTCAAGTCAGTCGTCCCGTTGTGTTTGCTTTTACAAACGGACATGCCTCGCATGTGACTCCAAAGTGTGCTGGACTGGAGTTGCGACTTAATCATCATCCAGATGGTGGCGCCAAAAGCCCACATTTCTTAAAACATGTGCTGTTCTTCAAAAACCAAGCCTTCTTTTCATTTTAAACCTCCAAATTCTGACACTATTCATTGTGAGATATTATGTGCACTGAATCAAAAAGAATACATACTTACATTCAACAATTATTTTTAGTTATTTAAATATTAGCTTTCTTTATTTTTGTTTATCTATTCATTATATTAATTTGTATTTTTTATTATTAGCAATATTTCATTTCTAAGTGAAACCTGTCTGTCCTGTACAGACTGAATACACACCGAGAGACTGTTTATGCGTAAACTCCTCCTATCCTCGGTGGACAGCGGATGATGAATGATGCGCACTGTGCATCTGGCTGAGGACAGAGCGTGCGTTTCAGAAGGGCGCACACACTTACATCCGCACATACACAGACGGACACATACTATAGGATCCTCCCCTGTGTGAAGTGGAAATGGAGTTCAAATAGGCGCACCACCTAACCTCATGGACTAATCGCAGTGACTGTCGTTTTGGATTTCTGAACTTTACGCCCAGAAACACGCAGAAGAGAAAATGTGGAGATACGCGAACTTGTTCGCCTGTCTGCTGGTTTTGTGTAAAGATGCCTCCGCACAGAGCAAGGTAAGAAACTGCAAAACACTAACTTCTCACTGTAGGATTGTCATGCGTGATTGCATTTGAAAGCAAGTGTTTGTTCGGAGACAGACGTGTTTTATCATTTAATGACAACTCTTCCTTCGTTCTCTACCTGACCTCTTACCTGCATCATGTTCAGTGTAGCGGTGCCTCTGCTTCAGACAAATAAGTGACCTGAACAATACCCAACATTTTCCCAAAGCCAGACCTGTAAATTTACTGTCTAAGGCCGACAGATGGTTCGGGTTATGTGTCATTTTGATTCGAGGTAATCCTCCCAATGACGGCTTTTGTGTGACATGAGTATCCTAACCATGGGTGTTTGTAATTACACCTCCAGAGTGTACAGGCCTGGTGCCAGCAGAGTGTGGGAGAGATGGCACTCAGTGGGGTAATGGTAATATCTGGCTGTGCTTGTTTGTACAGCTGCTGGACCACAGTAACCCCTCACTCTCCCTCAGCCTAATCCAGCCACAGACACAGACTCCACACACATGCACACACACTGCTGTATGATAAAAACACATGTTCTCTACACATTACATGAAGACATGCAAGCGTTGTTGTCTATGTATGACTGAGTATGGTGTGTGAGTGTCAACAATTGTCTCTGGATACAATCAAGAGGGCCAAATCAGCAGCAGTGTGGGTCAGTGAGGAGTAAAACCCATCTGTAGTAGCAGTAGTAGGCCTATGAACCCAGTGTTCAGGGCAGCAGTTGAGATAGTAACATCCACTGTGAGGTCCAGCTCCAAATCTTACTGCTGCAGTCTGTGCTTCTATCTCTATCAACTGTTTGTGTTTGTCATTTTACTACTAAACTATGACTTTGCCCAAAAGGGAGCTCTATGAAAAGGATCTTTCCAGTTTGGTGTGGAGGAACATGCACTCAACCATGAGTTCAACTCCATCTAGTACCTCTGATGAAGTGGAAGCCTTTAAGCTACACAGCCTCAGTGTTGAACCTCTCAACAGTCAGGTTTCAAAATCTAATCTGATGCTTGAAAGCAGAAGAGCGCAGGCTATTACAGCTGCAAAGCCAGCACATGTAGAGCCACTGGAGTGCATATTTAGTAACAACCTTTTCATAAAGTTTACAAAGCCAAATCATAGTAACAATGCTGTAGCAGATCATCAGACAATAATGGCAATGTAATTTAATAATGCAATAATGTTTATAGGCGTGATCAGACTGAAACCATTACATTAGGACACAATGCCAAGTTAACATTAATTGCTTTTATGTGTGTGGCAAATCTTCAGGCCAGATGATTATTTTTTTGATAACTCATGCCTGTGATTTGCTTCTGCAGACAAAACTGACATGTAGAAGTACACCAAGACAACTCAAGTACAGTATAATACGCTTTTTTATTTAGCCCTCAGTTGTTTAGAAATGTGGAACAATTATTAAAGTTCAAGTTTTCTAATTCTTGATAAAACCATCCATTTGTTATCTGTACACCACTTTATACTCTGTAGGGTTGCTGGGGAGCTGGAGTCTATCCCAGCTGACTCAGGGTGGAGGCAGGTTCACCTGGACAAGTCGCCAGTCTATCACAGGCCCGCACAGAGACAGACAACCAAGCACCACACTCGTCAATTAACATCAGCATGTCTTTGGACTGTGAAAATAAATCCTACACACTTTCTAACAATTTATATATATATACACATATATAAAACAGATGCATTTTATGTTGTCTACATGTGGTGAGGATGTTCTGTGTGGACTTTGCATGTTCTCTCTGTGCAGCTTGGGACCTCTTCATGTTGTCCGGCTTCCTCCCACAGAGATTCTAACTTATCTGTAGGTGTGAATGTGTGTGTGCTTGGTTGTCTGTCTCTAAGTGTAGCCCTGTGATAGACTGGAGACCTGTCCAAGGTGTCCCCTGCCTTCACCCTGAGTTGGCTGGGATAGACTCCAGCCCTCTAACAGGATTAACTATTGGTTGTGGGGATGGTCAGACTTCATTTTGTGGAGGCTGTGGACCCCCAGGCCTCCCTCTGGTTATGCTCCTGGACTGCATATTTGGTCAAAAATTAGCTCTAACCGGAATCTAAAACAACAAGCATGGCTATATTGGAAATGATAATAGGCAGTTGGAGAGTGTGGTCATTGTCCAGAAATCACAGGTCTGTACTACATACAGTTACTGAGGTTGTTAACGCTACTTCTTCTGAAGGGCTTGGAGAGGTTGGCGGACAGTTTGGAGAAGAGGATCATGTCCGAACCGTCCACCCAGAGTTTTGTGAAAAACATTTCTTTGTCAACTACTGGTGGAATTGTGTACGTTGAGGTGCCTGGCCATAACCCTAACTGATCTGCCAGCATTCTCATCTATCCCTTGCCATCCATGTTTTCATGCCGCTTGAATAAAGCTGCATGTTAAGGTGATCTTTAGTAGTCAATACTGTACTGGTCACTGTGTGATCATTGTCCACTGAAGCCACACTGGACAGTGTTGTGGATTAACTCAGTGATGGATAATTTGTCACCAGTTAAACAGCTAAAAAACATTTTGTGCACAATTGGCTAAATTTAATCATCTTCTAGCCAGAGCAATAGAAATGAGGTTGTGAACATTTTCACTCAGTCAGAAAAGAAGATAATTTGCATGCTGCATTTGTATTTTTGTACCATAAGTTATAAAGTTTGCCTTATTCTGTTGTTACTGGCTCCCATCCTTGTAAAGGCGTGCTGGCATTGGTAATGTTAACAGTAATAAAAAGAGAATTGTTGAAGCGGGATTAAAAAATATATTTTTTAAAAATACAGCTATAATGTCAAGTCTTTTCAAAACTCCATCCAAATTGTGAAGATTGTCAGTTGTGTTTTAATAATATGGATATCTTTTTACTAATTTTGATTAACCAGAAACTAAACTAACCAAAAATTGATTTATTACATAGTATTTTTCATTATTATTTTTCATTGTCACTACGGTCAGGGTGGAAAACCATTTGCAACAGGCTTTTCAACAAAGCATGCACAAAATAGGGGCGTCCCAGTGGTCAGGGGTTAATGTGTCCTTTGTTGCATGTCATTCCCTATCTATCTCTCCCCTCATTTTTGTCATTCTTCCACTGTCAAATCAACCCCCCAAAAATGTGCCAAAAAAACAACCAAAAACAAAACAAAACTGATGCACACTCAAAAAAAAAATGCATGTTAAAGATTACTTCAGTACAGATGTCACATTAAGACTCATATTGGTGGTGGGCTTTGTAAAGACATCTATAACATGCTTTTGGCATCATAACACTATCCCTCATTGTGCAGTAGTGGTGTTACAGCTCCAGCCTCACTGCCACAGGAGACGCCCAGTTACTGTCACTGTGGCCAGACTGGTGGCACTGGCATTAATGAGAGACAAAGCCTGCAGAGAGGAGGGCACAGAGGGCACTAGAGGGTGGCGTGGGAACCAGCGCGTGCACCTGCTTTATGTTTTGGTTGTAAACAAACCCGAGGACAATCAGTGAAAGGTCAGATAGGGGGCAGGGAGAAGGAGACAGCAGACTGGATGCTCAGGCTGCCTCAGTGAGCCAGCAGGGTGCTGCATGGCACTCTGATGGTGGCAGAGATCAGATCCGATTAAACAGAAATGGAATTCCAGATGTTGTTAATGCTGTTAAGGTAACCTGTAGCCTTTGAGTGTGCATGAAATTACATTTTATCATGTCATGTTGTGTCAACAAGGCTTCATTTAATTGGGGGTGTCACATGCGGCCTGATGAAGAGTCAACATTATCAGTCTGCAGAGAGTCACGTCTCAGTGTTTGTGGTTAAAATACAAGGCTGCAAGCTGATTAGAAAGACTAATACCTCTTTAGGACTGAGGCAGTGACCTGAGGAGAAACCAGCTCTTGGCCTAAATGTGAGTGGGTCAACATTTGCCATACGTCCCAGGTGTGCAACCCTGCACATGATGAGGCTTTTATGAAGGTAACTTGGCTTGGCTTTGGTGCAAAACTGTGTTTTATTCTAGGCTTTTCTCTTAATCATAGATTTCAGTTCTTGTCTCTGAATATAGTTAAGAACTGCATCATTAAACAATCTGCATGAATGCTAGCTTCAGTGTGTGTGCTGTACAACAACTCTATTATCAGAATGTGTATGTGTCTGTGAAACAAGGGTCCTTAGCAAATTATCTTAGAACATAGTCCTGCTTCTATTACGGAGTGATTTAGGGTACACTTTACTTGTATTGTTCACTTTTCTGTTCTCAAGATTACTGTTTTGACAAAGTTTTGGCCCTCTTCTCACAACATGCAGGTTCATTTGTCCTTGGGAGTAATACATACAAGCATTCAGCATACAAGATTCAGATTATGCCTATTTGTTCTGATTTCTGGTATTTAAAGTTTCATCACATCTTTCTCAGGTCATGTGGACTTCAACATTTTACAGACCTGGGCATGCAAAAACTGACTTCTGCAATCCTCTAAAGCAACATTAGTGGTCACCACTAAAGCTCTTTATGTTTTTTTTTGTCAGAGGTGAGATAGAAAAGGCATTTTTCTGATGTCAACATGTTTTTCTTACAAGGTATTGCACTGCATGTGGTGCTGTTGCCTTGAAATCAGAAGAATTACATGGGTATTGCATGATTTTGCAACTCATGATTTATGTCTATTTCCAGCATTCATTATCAGTGTAGAAACTAATGTGCTGTGTTTGTAGCAACATAATTGTGCAGAGGTTGGGGTGGTAGATAGATGTTTAGTGCATCTTATTTTCATGTGAGATACCCATCAGTTTCCATCCATTCATTATTAATAAGAATCTTTCCCATTTTGAAAAGGAAGAGTTTGATATTTTTGGAAATACGCTGATTTGCTTTCTTGCCGCTAATTAAACAAAAGGATTGATAGCACTCGTATGTTTGCACAGTAAATATAACTGACTACCATTGTGGTTGGAGGTTAAGGGATAGACTATTTTGTGGCCAGCTGCACTGACTTGTTGGTGTCCCCACTGATTGCTTGGAAAGCTCATATGACACAACTAACCGCATGTGGCCAAGAACTCCCTGTAAAATCACAATATGTGAAAAAAAAATCGAAGTGCTAATTAGTAAACCATAGACAGTCGGCAGAGAGCCAGTGTTGATCTGTTTCCAGATGCACATCCTGGTGGTGAATTTGTATTTAAAAGAAAGATACTGTATCAATCTCAGCAAAAAAAAAATGTTTAATACTTTCCCTTACTTTGTAAAGCATGCTTGCATTAGTATAGTTTCATTGTCATGGCTCTAACTACACCATATTATGGAGCCACCAGGGGTCATATGGTATGAAAGATTTATGTGGAAATCTGTGCATTTATGCAATAATAAACATTGGATTGCTAAACCACGTGCACAGATTGACAGAGTTGTTTTGCTTTAATCTAGAGGCCCATCTAAAGATTGGAATCTATGGAAATTATATTGCTAGTGATGTCTTCAGCTGCTGTTCTCCTCTCTCCAGCTTACACTGTACAGCGTAGACCAAATAATGCACTGTAGCAACAAGAATTTAATGGATTATTTGCTTTGTTCAATAAATTTTTTTTTAATTGAGCAAAATATTTGGGTCACTGAGGTGTAATAAACTCTGCAGCTTTTTATCAGCTCTACTAAACAGTTGTTGAAAGAAATGTTCCAGGGACTGTCATTGGCAAGATTGATTATTCCATTTGTGGTTGAGGTCACAAAACACACACGAATAATTAGCTAAGTGTTTTTTTGTTCTGTTCAGTTTTGTTTTTTTTGTGTGCATATGAATGAGCAGCTTATGTACGTGGATTTTAAGAGGGAGCAGTAGTGTCCTGGCCTTCAGTACACTGGGACAAATCTCCGTGGGCCGTCACAATGGTGGATCAGTGGACCTTCAAAAAGTCCCTAGACTTTCTACTGGCCCTGTCATTCGGGGTGTACATGACAGTGTGCTGCATGCGTGTTCATATGTAATCAACTCTCACTGACTTGATCTGGGCACATACTCCCTCAGTGTGAAAATGTGTAAAAATCCTGTTTAGTGGTTTTTCCAGAGTTCTTTGTTGTTGTTGTGTCGACAAAGTGAACATTGACAAAAGTTATTCTTTAACACATTTAGTAAATAATTTAAGGACAATATGTGTCAGACATGCTTTCATTTTTGTAGCTTTGTGTGCTGCAATGACTGAAAGGTTCAGAGGGTATCTGGCCACATAAACAGACCCAGCAGGAATGTAGATGTGTACCCCCAAAATCAGCGAGTGCTTGATACACTTTGTGTTCAGCTAATTAACATCCCTGTGCTAATGCCAGCAGTTTTGTCTGAGTCACCGACCTCATGGTTCATCTCCAGACTTGAAGGCTTTAAAAAAAATTCCTTCTTTGTACAAGTTAATCTTAACAGTGGCACAGTAAGACTGTTTATCATAAGCACCACTAATTAGATTAAAAATCAGGCGGACTCTTTGGACTGGAATGTGGGCCCTGCATTTGGTCTTGACTGACCTTCACAAGAGAGGATGTGGATTTTAAAGAGATAGTCCATTCTTTAAAATCAAAAGCTTGATGGGCTTATGACTGATGAGAATTTAAGGTGCCTTATTGTGCATTTGTGGGAAAATACTTTAAAACAGCAGTTTGAGGAAGGCTGGAACATACAGCTGAGTATACTCACCTTGTGTACTATAAAGTTGTCCCAGTGATTACCAGCTGGCAGAGCACTAAAAGGGGAGGATATCCTTGTTTATATGGACACGGCTGCAGATACAACAGACCAGTGCTACCGAAACACTGACTTAAACTCTGCGGCTAATGAATGCAGCGGCCTTTGTGTAGCACATTGTGTGTTTTTAACAATCCTGAGCACAAATGGGGTTTCACTTCATCACTGTCAGGGCGTGTTAGCTGTTAAAGACTGCAGCGGTTGATCTAATAGAGCTCTCTGCGGCATGCAGGCTCTTTTCCTCCCATTGTGCAGACATGAGTTCACGTTTGAGCTGTGTACTTTTTGACCTGAAACTTGACTGCACTTGAGAGGTCAAAGCCAAAGACTCAAAGCTCAAAGCATGCGTTAAATACTCTGTACTCTTAATTATTAGCACTCTTAATTGTGTTGCTTGTTCTCATGCTGGTAGGTCAGCTTGGCATGAGATGCTGGATGGTCAGTTAGGCATACCAGCACATATGATTTGACAGGAGGAGGAAGCAGCTGCTCTGACTGGCAGAATGATTTGGATTTTTCACGATGAGCTGCTGCCAGATCGCTCTCCTGCAAAAAAGCATGCAGAGTAATAGCTTAGTCCTTTTTGACTAGACATGAAGTACCAACGCAAATCTGGTTGGAATTTCTGTGACTTCCCCAACTTAAAGCACCGTAAGCTGATGTTGCTATGCAGCAGTTGGGGTTTGGCTGGGGCTGAACAATGCAGCTCAGCAGAGCCATAGGCATAGGCTCCACTAAAGAAGTTTAATCTGCTAATCCACTCTGTTTTCATGTGGCTGTAGCATTTGTCAACCTGCTGCCTTTTCGCTTGACATGGGTCAGGATTGGCTCGGCTCTGCACACAGGAGTCCTGCCCCGTATCAGACCCCCTTCCAATATGTCTGCTGCAGTGGAGGGGAAAGCACACCTCCTTCCCTCCACATCTTCACCATCACTCAGCCTGCATTCCTTCACTAATGAGCCTCCACCTCCTCCACCACTCCTCCCCCCATATCTTCACTAAGCCTGCAGCTGTACTGCCAAAAAAACAAAAATGTGTCAAAATTCTAACTATGAAAACCTATTAAATAATATACCATCAAACATAACATTGCCAAATCAGAAAGCGACATCTCTAAATACAGCATTTCATTTCTGGCATGACCATATAAATTGCAGAATATACAAATCTTTTTATAAATCATTTCCTGCACAATTGGTTGGTTGATTTAAAAAACAAAAATCCTACATTTCTCATAATTTAACAATTAGCACCCCCCCCCCTTACATATTTGTAACTCTGTGAGCCAAGTTTGTAAAAACTTTATGTAATCAGTTTTCAGACTACATCAGTATGACATCACCACTGTCAGTTTCTCTTGACAAAGCTCCTCCAGAGCTGCATAGAAACACCTTTACAGACTGATTTGTCTGCACTTGTCACTGTGCACAAAAATTTCAAAGCATGCAGTCAAAACAGTTTGGACTTCGTAAAGATTTTCTGTAAGAGTTTGCCTTGAACATTTTTCTGTAATTCTCGAAGAAAGCTCTTGTACAAAGAATCACCACAGACAAAAGGTCACCACTAAGGAGAACATCTGCAAAGATATTGGTTTGTAGGGTCCCAGGGTACAATCCTACCTAAAAGCTTCAGTCATTTGAGGACAGGGCCACAGTTCATTAATGAAGAATCTCTGTGAAATGATACCACATGTGCGTCTGTCCTGTGGTTTATTGAGAGTCCTAAATCTTACCGAACAGAGATGACAGCCTGAACATCCTCCCAACACATGATCCAAAGTCGGGATTCTGAATGTTAGGTTCAAATCAAGAGTTATACCGAGTGAGAAACACGGTTGTAACCAATGCAAATACAAAATTATTTGCATTTACAACTCGCAACATGCGAACATGCAAGATGTGACAATACATTTCATAGGTATAGATGACTTACAATGGTTCATCCTATTTTGAGGGCATCTGCTCAGTGAAGTTTGCATCAGTCTGCTGCCATTTCTTTTAAATGTCTGGGAATTTCAGCATACAGGTCTTCTTATCAATCACAGTTTAAATTTTTTTTTTTCAAACTTTTTCTTTCCAAAGTAACAAGCTAAAAGTATTCTTGCCATGTTTGTGTGGCTCCTCTGACTGATCTCAAAACCCAGCAAATAAAACTCTAGTTCTCTCTGTGTGTCCATTCTGTATTTCTCTGTTTTCCTCTTGTCTCTTTTCATTTATTAACTGGAAAAATTAGCATCCTATTGCATCTTTGCACTGACTTCAGGATCATGCCACCTCTAAAGATGGCTTGCTGTTAGTCTGAACACACCTTTGTTCACATCAGTCACATAAGGCAGCTGTAAAGGGCCATTTCAAAGAATGTTAGTGTTTTAAACTAGCACCTGTTTTACTGTGAAATAAGGCATGATAGATTTGAATGGCCAGCAGAACTCAGTCTGCCAACTCACCGTTGCTGCCTGAACATTTCATGAAATATGCAGTAAATCTCTGTAACTGAATTCTTGTGTGAAAGTTATCTCCACCTTATGTCAGGTTGCACTTTTCTCAGATAGTACACGTGTGGAATGTCTGCTTAGGCTGCCATGCATTGCTTCTTGTTTATTAAGTAAGCCATGGCCATGGCCTGCCAAATCGTCTGTCATCACACACAGCAGCCAAAAGCCAGCTGGTGATGCAGCTGAATGAGTTATGTTTGTCTCTGAGGCTTTCTTCTGAGTCACACCAGCTAACATTCAAAAGAGGGGAAGCATGTGGTTATTTTTCAAGATCACTTTCCTTCCCTTGCTTTTGTTTCGCTACAATAAAAAAATGGATTTACTATTCATGGAAGACTAACTGGGGTTAGGCCAATGGAACAGATGACTGGAAAAACTCAGGATTCACTGGTAGAGGAAGGAACAGCAGAGCTGAAGATATACCTTCAGAAACATTTTATGGGTTTGGACAAATACACAGTGCTGTCAAGATCATTGTTGTCCTAGTGTTAAGTTTTCCCAGAAGTCTGAGTCTGTTTGTTTAGAATAAAACCATACTTGGGACACATTTCCACATCATACATCTAAGAGGTACTTACATGCAGAAACAAAATGTTACACATGACATCACAGAAAAGGCTTTAGAAAATATTTTCTTTGGATCTGAGAAAGAGTTCATGTTCTGTGTTCTAGATCTTTGGGGAGACCGAGCCTGTTCGGATGACTTCAGAAGGCTCAGACTGCCGGTGTAAGTGCATCATGCGCCCTCTAAGCAAGGACGCCTGCCTCCGGCTGCGGAGCGGCAGTGTACGTGTGGAGGACTTCTACACAGTGGAGACGGTGAGCTCTGGATCAGACTGTAAGTGTTCGTGCACGGCCCCGCCATCCTCTCTCAACCCCTGTGAAAATGAGTGGAAGATGGAGAAGCTGAAGAAACAGGCCCCTGAGTTACTAAAGGTGAGTGGATGTAGCTTAAAGGCATTATGCAAAAGAATTTATGTGATCATAGGAAATTTTAAATGATTTTGATGCCATCCGTTTTCGTTTGTAGAGAAAATAGACAATGTAAGGATCTGCATATGTTGAGTCTTTTTGTTGCTGAGCAGCAAAGCCCACTTATAATTTCGCCAACAGCCTTACCAGTAATCATAATTTTTTTTATATAGCACATTTAAAACAACAAAAGTTGAGCGCAACCAAGCTCGGGGAGGGCAGTCATCTGCCTCAACTGGTTGTGGTGCAGGGAGAACAGAGAGACTAAAGATGAGCAGTGAGAAACAGACAAGAGAACAAAAAACACTGAGCAGGCTGGTGAAGCCATGACCACAGATTAGAAACATGCAGCTCTAGAGGCAGGGATCTATGTAGTAAAGCAGTGGAGAGCAGGAATACCCTCAGAAAATGTCAGGGCAACATTCCAATGATAAGGTTTCTTTTGTGCAAGTGGAAATGGTGGTTGAATTGTGCTCTGGCTAAATTGAATATTATTTATTATTGCCAAATTTAGGCCAGTAGTTGCTGAGGTTTGCTGTTTTTTGCTCTCAACTGTATAAACCACTGCTCATATGACTAAAAAAATCTATCTGAAATGGTAACTATTTAATAAGTTGAGTTCCAGCTGCCTTTTATCAACATGGACCAAATAACTGGAGGTTTGAGCTGATAATTGAACAATACTGAACAATACAAGTAAGCTGAAAACACAATGTGTTTTAGGAAATTGTGCTGGATATTTTATCTTTTTTAAATTTTTTTTACATTTTGTTTTAAAAAATCTATAAAACGATTGCCTTGGAAATAATCACATTACATACAAATTGAAATGGAGTGTTACAGCAGGAAATATGATAAGGTTAGGAAAAGGTTGACACAATACACAAAAAAGTAAGAAATAACAAAAGAACACAAAAAATGTAATTAATGACCTAGGATTACGTATGTGCACTTTATTTGTTTTTGAAATTAAACTTAAAGTATAGTAATCAGCGAAACATCCCACCAATTCTTTATCATTCTTTAACAAGTTTTGCGAACACATCAGCACACCTTTGCACATACCTAAAGCACACGTTCATTGTTCACAAGCAGGAGATGCACACTATGTACCATATGAAACAAAAGCTGGTTCCAGATGTTTAATATAAATTAAGTCAATATGTCTCTGAATGTAGCTTAAACAGAGAGCACTGAACTGGCAGTGTGGATGTCAATAGCGGCAATTAGTGTAAATGTCTTGGAGGGTACTTAAGATATTACTGCTGTTAAACACTGTCATATAAAGCTGTCAGCTATATATTCAGGTGGTGATGAAATAATGCTAGTTCATCTTCTTTTATGGCAGCTCCAATCCATGGTGGACCTCCTCGAGGGAACTCTTTACAGCATGGATCTATTGAAAGTCCACTCCTACATTAACAAAGTGATGTCGCAGATGAACACCCTGGAAGAGGTAGGAATAAAACACACCCTTATATCATTTTAATCAAAAAGCTGGTCAGAGACAAGGCACTTGGAAGAGGCTTTTTTTTCTTGAACAATAACTATTGTAATGGTTGTGATATTGCAGACAATCAAGACAAACCTTACACGAGAGAATGAGTTTGTTCGGGACAGCATGATGAGCCTCACCAACCAGTTTAAGAGATATGAGAACTATTCCAACATTATGATGAGTATCAAGAAGGAGATCTCAAGTCTCAGCTTGCAGCTGCTACAGAAAGACTCCTCTGAGAGCAAAGCACAGGTAAGGAGCAACATACTCTGAATTAAAGCTTTCTGTTTCAAGCATCCTGTTGCGGTTTCAGTTCAAAGAGAGGGAGGACCCAACACAGGACACAGGAGGCAGGTTTGACAAACAAAAAGTAAGCTTTACTGTGCTTAAGCTGATGCAATTTACCAAAAATACAGCAGGTTAACAAAAAAAGAGGCAGCTATTAAAGAACAGTAAAAACTAGGACCACATGGCACAGAGTACAGAGATGAGGAGCATAGCAAGGAAACACAGGCAAAGTACACTGACAAACTGATAACTGAGGGTACGTCCACAGTAAGATGCTCCATTCAAACAAGCATTTAAAGACAGAACCAAACCAACATGCCAAAAAATGGATAGCACTGCTGGACATGAGAAATGTTGCAAATCCCTAAAATACCAGTTTGCCTCCTGCCCATGTAGGCAGCAGTAGCATGATGAAAAGGGGAGTTTAGTAACTACTAGCACAAACAGCAAGATAAATAAGGCTGATGTATTTGTCTTGTTTCAGAAAAGGGTCACATAATAGAAGCATGAGGAATCATGGAAGGACATGCAGTAGTCTCACCATAGCTAGACCATTCTCAAGCACTGACATGGTGCTGTGTAGAATGGTCTGGCTGCACCTCATTATTATTCTGGTGTTGTAGCAAAAAAAGACTCTGGTGTGGTGGTGTTTAATTAAATTAATAACAGAATGCACCAATGATGTTTATTCAAAATAGTTTTTGGGGAATCGTTTTGGTGAAACATTTGCTTGCAGGGCACTGTCTTTACAATAGATAATTCCCCAAAATTTAGCAGGGCTGCCTTACTGCATGATCCAAAACTTGAAATTTTCAGTGTATGCTGCTGGCACCAAGGTTGTTGTTGCTGTTTCCTATAGCAAAAAGGATTTTTAAAATGGCAGCTTGTATATAGCAGAAGGGGAGAAGAAAGTAGTGTGAAATGTGTGGCCAGTAGCAGGTTCACACCAACAACCTACAATCTGTTAAGTCAGACCAGAAACATAGATGTCCATTGAAACAACTGGCCAATGGCAGGCTTATACCTGCAACCTACATCCGGTTAGTCAAACCACTTCAGTTGTGACTCGGAATCTGTGTGTTTTTTTGGGGGTTTCTTTGCCTTTCAAACCCAATGGCAAAGCTTTGGGGTACAGAGGCTTAAAATCTTTGGTTCTGTCCAAGATCAGTGCTGCTCATGGTTACCTGTTGTCAGTAAAAGAAAAAAAAAAACTCACCTTCTCAGCACCAAATGGCTAGCCGTTGAACATCTGAACATAATGTCGCATTCAGATATTAAAGGAACAGCTATTTCCCACAGTAGCTGGTAGAGACCAAAACCCAGAGTAAATATCATTGTTCATGATTTGGTGTGATTTGGTGTGATTTGATGTACATTTTTCGAAATTTATAATCATAGTTTTGGCATATTGTAAAATTCTATAATTTATGTGATATCTGTTGATGTGTGATTACCTTGTGTTCCTTCAAGCAACATTATCAAGAATAATTATTATTTGACCGAATCACGAAAAAAGCTTAGTTCTTAGTTAAAGAACACTGTGAATGTTGCTTATACAGCTGTATATTCTTTGGTTTTCTCTCCTTCTTATTGGTAGTGGTGGTGTTTTGGACTCAGTCTTGAAGCACCACAAGCTAAACGCACACTTTCACAAACACAGTCAGCATACAAAACTCACAAGCCAGCATTGCCAACTGCCCTGACAACCTAAATGTCTTCACAGGACACTAATGATGAGAAAGCCAAGGAGACTGTAAAAATACCCAACAAAAAGACCCCTGCAGCCAAATCCCCTCCCAAACCACCCAAAGAAAAGGTCATCAAGCCCAAGAAAGAGGTCATCAAACCTGGAAAACCGGCCAAGCCTGACCCTACAGCCAAAGCCAAGGTGGTTGGCCACCAGCCTGGTGTAGTGAGAGGCATCACATACTACAAGGCTTCCAAAAATGACGAGGATGAGCACAGAGGAGGTGAGAGTTTTCAGCTTGGTTTGGACACTCTGTATACTATCCCAACAGTGTTGTGTTCATAGAAAGCCACCCTCTATGAGCTAAAGCAAACAGTATGCTCACACTTTAGCTGAGTTTGCACTCCCATCTGTGTGCGATCATCTGTGTGTGATCCACTGTGGGTGTTGAAAATGATCCAAATTAGTTTCTTAAGCAGTCTTATCTGACTCCACGTGACACCTTTGCTGGATCAGAACCAGCCAGCAGCCATAGAATCATAGAACCAGAGCTTTTATTACTTTGATTTAGTTTCCAACAGAGAACAGTATAAAGTTTTCCTTAGGATGTTGTTTTACACAAGTGTGAGATAAGGCTGTAATTGTGTTGCAAACTTTCCATTTAAGTGTGAGGCAATAAAACAGGGAATCCAGTGCTGTGTGGCACACAAAATCCCCACAATAAAAGAATTATTCTATTGTTGTTTTTAGCAAAGCTGCTCTAGTCAGTGCGCACTTGGATTGTTGGTGGATTCAACGAACAGGAAACGCAAATCTTTTATTGGCAAAATACATGGAGCTGAAGGAATGCTGTCTCAATGCAGTGCTGCCATGTCCATGACATGCCTCAGCGTCACTCCTCACAATAATGTGTGGGGACCCTCACCAACGCAGAGAAAACATTTCCTGACTCCTTCCAATCCTCTTTAAGTCTAGTTGAATGAATAGGTATGCTGCGTTTGTACAGGGCACACGCACATAACGCTGTCAGACCGTGTGTTCTGCCATGTATGTGAATCAGTGAGGGTCCAGCCACCCTTGTGAAATCATTGAAACTGTTCGGCTGCATTTCCATAATCTGGACCTCTATTCAGCCTGGGAGGGTTGATGCATCTTGATGCTTTAATGCATCTCATCAAATTTAGCTACAGTGACAAACATATTTACTGGGAGCTGCCAGTATTAGCAGTATTTGAATCAGTAATCATGCAGCTGCACTGTAGAATGCCTCTAGAAAAAACTGTGCTTCAAAACAGAAACCCTACAAAGTACCGATCATGCTGAAGGATAGACATAGACACAGACTGCATGCACTTGCATACAATAATCAGGGGTATGAAAGCATGATAGCAACCTCCTAACTGCAAGAGGAAAAGCTGCTTCATTTGTTGTGCTTGGCTGAAAAACGTTAAAAAGTAAACAAATAAATAAATATTTAAAAGGAAAAAAATAGTGGGTGCAACTACCTAACAAGAGCAGGATCAAAACTGCGAAATGCAACAGGGTTATAGCTTACATTCAAATGTTAAACTTCGGACCGCAGAAGTGCATCTGCACAGAATTGAAACAGGATTAAATGTCGGTCACAAGACCTTGCAGACATGCAAACACAGAATTTCTAAATTCTATTCCAAGGTGCTTACAAAGTCTAAAAATGTTGCATAACCGTTGCATGTTATCATCGTGCTGAAAGGTGAAGTGCACATGGCACGTTGAAGCACAGGGAGGACAAAACATCAGACAGGCAGAGGTGAGCTGGAACAATAAGTAGTCCAAAATAAATGTCAGTATTATCTACCCTACAAAATCACACAGAAACTCCCAACTACCATACATCCATCAACTAAGACCATTGTGCGTTGTGACCTGACTCTGTTCCAAGAAGAAGAACAAGACAATAAAATATTTGATCATGTTTCAGTGTTTATCTCTCATTTCATCACAAATCTAATCTGAGAATCCACCTCCTCGTATACCACATAAAAGATTATTTCTAGGAGCTTCAGTAAAAAAACAACTTGACTTCTCTTTTAGGCTCTTCGAAATGTTTCACTTGTCAGCCAGGAGGCAAAATGTCTTCCATAAACTAAAAAGAAGTCCAGTTGCTTTTATCTAAAGCTTCTAGGATTACCATGATCTCGGTGACGGAGAATCTAAACAGACACAAATCAGTTTCCTCTATAGGTGCCAGTGATGGCTTCCTGAACATAGCGTTTTCCTAATACATTTTTTATGAGACAAAAAACTTAAATTTTTAAGTATTCTTCTGCTTCTAGCAGGATTCTAGCTGGATTATAAATGAAATGACAAAAACAACAATACAAAACGGTTAAGCATGTAGTCATGGAGAGAGCTGGTGCTTTCTGACATACATCCATAAGTGTAGATTGATAAGTAATCATGGAAGGCAAATGCAGCTCTGACAACTGTATAAGCAAATACAAACTCCCTTTGTAAAATATCCATCCATCCATTATCTATACACCACTTAATCCTCACTAGGGTCGCGGGGGGGCTGGAGCCTATCCCAGCTGACTTAGGGTGAAAGCAGGGGACACCCTGGACAGGTCACCGGTCTGTCACAGGGCTACACTTAGGGACAGACAACCAAGCACACTCACCTTTGAACAATTTAGAATCACCAATTAACCTCACCTTTTTGGACCTGTGGGAGGAAGCCGGAGAACCCGGAGAGAACCCAGAGAGAACCTTGCAGCCCTTTGTAAAATATCAAATGCTGAAAGTGGAAATTGTTAACAGTAATGGTAAGCGTTAAAGAACAGACATACAGTCAAAGCAGGCAAAACAACCTGCATGGCCTTTAAAACCGGCTTAATTAACTTCATATCATTTTCAAAATGTTTTAAAGAGGTCTTTGATCTACATTGTAGTAAAGTAACAAAATAAGTAAGGTATGTATCCCATCTGTTTTACAAAACACAGATGAATGTCCTGTCTGTTAATAATTAGCTGATGTCCTCTTCATTTTACATTTCTCAGCCACGGCTACAATAACTAACCGATTTAGCTTTCTAGTTTGGTTTGAGAATTTGTGTTTCACCTAATTTGAGGAACAATTTAAAAAATCTTGAAATGCTGAACAGCTTTCTGAAAACCAGAACTGTAAAATGTCTCAACTCTTCTCTGAATATTGTTTCCTTGAGCCCTCATCATGTACACGTGTTCAGTCTGCATTTCTGGGAGATGCTCTGCTTATGTAGCACTGCTGTAATCTCCCTACATCTGTCTGGCAGTGCACACCATCAGCATATGAGGAGCAGACAGAGAGTGCCTTTGATACAGACTGCTGACTTTTTACCAAAAAAACCACAAGAGTCTACTGAAGCCTGAATCTAGAAAGAAGGAGCAAGAGTTTGAGTATGAGCTTTTTTTTTTTCTTTTTTTTTAAAATAATCAAATAAACATTTAGTAAATTTAATCCAAAACCTCTCCAACAGTATCTTGACATTCACAGGGTGCTAAAGGCCTCAATATGCTTCAGGCGATTTAGATCATACAACATGCTGTCCAACCACATCTAAAGGTAAAAGTGTTTATGCCTGTTCTAAATGGCCACAGTGAGAGCCTGCCGTTATAAACAGGATAAGAGTATAGAGGATGAAAAAGTGAAATAAATGAATAATTAACTGCACACATTAATTAATTAGAAAAACATTTTAGTCATAAAAAGCACATAAATAAAGAAATCCGTTGTATTTATTTCTACATCTCCACATCTCCATCAACTTTTTCTGAGGCTATTTTTTAAAATCTGCTTTTTTTAAATTAATGCATTTTTCCCCATGTGTTTCTTCATACATTTTTATCTATCTAAGTTTCCATTCATTTATATATTTACGTATTACTATGTCTATATGTTTATAAGATAGGAGGGGCTAACCTCTCTGAGTCATTGCATGTAGTTAATGGAGCGCTTCTGGCTGGTTCTCCCTGCCACACAGTCCTGCTTTAGACTAATGTTAGGACCACCTACCCAATTGATATATAGATAAAGAAATACATGAATAAATAAAGAAAGAAGTTGAAAAGGAAGAACCCAATAGTCTGTGGAAACGATCCACTCCACTTTTTATAAAATTGTTAGCCAAAGATTAGCCTTGGTAAAGGATGTGCTCTCTTTGCCCTTCCTGTGTTTTTATGTATAATACTAATTGCATTCTTCTATATGTTCACTTTGATTTCATTATTTAATTTAAGCTATTTTTTGTAGGATGCAATAAAGTTTACAAATGGGAATAACGAAACTGCATGCCAAGTCAATCATTGTGTTGCGCTGGACTGTACACATGAAAAGTGACAGAAGTAGCAGTGCATCTTTGCATACCTCACTGTCACTGTTTGAAGAGGGTATGTTGAATTTTCTGTTTCAGAAAGTTCCAAGAATTGTCAGACCATTCACTGAATCACAACAACTAACATTACACAATGCTACATGGTGCTGTGTAGCACGACAGCAAATAATTCATCTTCTGAA